AGACAAGGGCCAGAAGGAGGGGTACCTGAGACACCGGGAGACTCCACGGGAGGAGGCTGAGGAGGAGAACTGGAGGCTGAGACCACCGGAGCAGCCCGGAGACCAGCGGCAAGGGTAGGTGGATTCGCTGTTTCCCCTCCCCTGCATTCGGGACTGCTGGTGGGCTCCCCAGCGGGTGGAGAGACCTGCGGATACCAGCCCAGAGACTGCCGCCGCCTGCCAGCGGTGAGCCTGTAGCGGACGTGGCACCAGATTCCCAACTCCTCCGGGCACCTCCGTGTGCACAGACCCGAGCCGCGCGGCAGGCGCCATATTGCCTCCTCCTCCCCTCCGCCGACCCTACCCGCGGCTGCCCAGAGAGACAATACAGCCACCAGCCGGAGGCACCTCCAGGGAATGGACCTTCCCGTTTGGGACCCCGCCCGCCCTCCCAGGTGCTACTGGCACCCTGTCCCAGGAAACGGTGCCGACTCAGAGGCTGAGAGACATAGACCCAGCTTGGGCTCCCTGTGGGTGATTAGGACCGGAATCCTTCTCCTGGTGGGGATAAGTTTGAACTCTGGGACCCAGAGGTCGGACCTGCAGACCAGATCCCCTGCACCGGAGGCTAGCATTGCCCGGGGCACAGAAGGGTTATAAGTGAACAGCCTACTGAGGTCTGTGTGCCTCCAGGGGCGGATCGGCGTCCTAGAGGGCAACCCTCCTCCCAGGAGGAGGCCGTGCGCCCAACCCAGGTGGCATCCGTGCAGGGAACTCCCGAGCATCCACTCATTCTCACGGAGGGGGGGAAATGGGCATTTATTGAAACCTTAAAATCTGTACCCCCATAATATGCCGAAATAAAAAAAAAAATCTAAAAAAAAAAAATTACTACTCTATTTAGCTATGTATTTTTCTTTAAATTTTTCCTGAAGTCCATAAAAAGTTTGCACTAATTAAAAGCAAATTAAAACCAATTAGGAAAACACTACTCTATTTTACAGATAAGTCAGCTACAGAGTCATTTATTATTTCTTCTGAATTGCTGGATTTTGATCCTCCTTAGTTCTTTAGATCCAGCATTCATGTTGGTAGTATCCTCATTTCGATAATCCAGCCTCAAAGAATTCCATCCAGTTAGTGAGGCAAGTTATTCCTTTCCTGAAACCACAAGGGTTCCTCTAAACTGAGTTCCTGCTCTTTCTCTATTTGATTTCTTAAAATAGTTTCTGAAGATTTTAACCACAACTGAATCAAAACTAACCAGCCTGTAATTTCCTGGTATGTCCCTATGGCCTTTCTTTTAAAACAAAACACACACACAAAAATGGCATTACATTGGCTGGTTTCCAGTGTTTCGGGGTTTCGACTTGAGGAAGCTGGAAAATGTCTGCGAAAGCTACTCTAATTTTTCTTTGTCCCTCTTTTTGAGGAGGCTCTGGGTTGTTTGTGGCTTCATGATGATGCACCATCAAACTTAGTCACGTTTAATTTTGAGTTGTTTTAAGAAAAGTTTACCAAATACCATCTCTTCACAGTTCTTTATTGCATACCTTCCTTTTCTTCAACTCCAGTATATCAGAAAATAAGGCAACTTGTATTAAGCACGTAAGCTAGAAAAAGAAAAAACTGTTCTTCTTTTATATAAAAGATATGTTATCTAAAACTATCCAAGAAAATATGGATTGATATTTGAATTAAAATAAATTAAAAGCACAGTTAGAATATATTTGGATCTTTTCTTAAAACCTGGGGAAACATTCTGAACTCCACTCAGAGACATATAAGACTAGATTTAGCTTGGCCAATTATTTAAATGGTTAATGATTTTTTGTATTTTCATCTTTTTTTAATGATTAAATGTTTTCTTTTAGTTGAATTCTCAATATAACTGAAATATTTTGATCCCAATTGTTTTGGTTTTAAAAACATCCATAATTAATATATAACATAAAAGTTGGAGTTAAAAAGAAGCAAAAATGTAATATCCAGATAATGGACTAAATTAAAATGTGGATTGGAATGGGAACAAAGCAATTTATTTTAAAACTATAATGAACATGATGAGAATATATGTGCTCAGTACATTGTTCCTGCAATTGTTTGTTTCAATAAATGTTTGTTGAATCAATGAATTAACAACAGATTGGTAATGATAGAACTAAAAATGCAAAGTAAATGTTAAGATAATGATGTAAGAAAATTCATTTCTAAACAAACCACTGATTCAAATTTTAAGAAATAATAAAATCTAACTAATTTGGGGTTATTATATAAGAAACAGCCATATTCAAAAGTTCTGAAATGCTAAAACATATTTATAAAAATAGAGCACATTTTGTTGATATTTATATTTGGAATTCAACAAGGTGTTTCCAAATAGATAAATGTTTTTAAATAGATTCAACTTATTTGCAATAAGAGCTCAGCATTTGTGTCCCAGAAACTCACATGCTAAAGGCTAAAACTTTTCTTCTTAGAATTTCTTTTGTATTTTTTAAAACATTAATTAGCCAAGAAGCTTTCTTGCAAAGCAGAAAGTAAAAGCAATGTTAAGTATATTCCAGACTAGTGTTATAAGTTATCAAAATTAGTGGAGTCCAAAATAACGATCTCTTTCTTTATTGTATTTATCAATTGAAACTATATTATTTGCTATTTAGTTTTTCAGAAATTTTTGATTTATTAAAGCAGGATCAAATATACAGTGATACATTACATTTGTTCCATGGGGATAACAGAACAGGGACTTAATTATATTAGTTATTTTTGCCCTTTCTTCCTAATATTCTCTATAATTAACTGCTATGAATATTTTTTAAGCATTTATTCTTAGAAATACAATTCCAAAAATTAAACAAACCTAGAAGATACAAAACATTATTTGAGTTGTATAGATGTGAACAATATAATTAGCATTTGAAAGAAAACATCTACATAGATTTCATGTCGATGTTAAAAAGCTGGAGTCTGTCACTCCTCTTATAAAAATCTCAGAATCTCACTCTGGGTTTAGGAAAGAGGAAGAGATTGAATAAAGTCCTCTTTTCTTTTTTTCATTTTTTTAATCTGCAGCATATTGTCAGTTTTAGATACTTTCTACTTACTTGCTATTTGCCAAACTCCTTGGCTGAAAAACATTAACCTCAATTGTTTCAACTGACCTCTTGAGTAGTGTTGTTTAAATGAACATAGATTTTATCCTCCCCTAGACAACCCCTTCATCTTTCCTTTACCAAGAATATTTTCTGGAGAGTATTCCATTTCAATCAGTTTTCATCAATTTATTTAGCACTTACTCACATGGTTGTGACTCAGAGATTTAGGGTTGGTGCTTTGGGAACCCCAAATAATGAAGAAATCAAATTAGATTATGTAATTATTGGCTCTTAATTACTCAGAGTTCTCTTACTATATCTAATACTTTCTAAAAAAATACATAAAGTTCAAGCCCCAATTACTTAGGGCTCTTAAATTTTCAACAAATAAATTAAGATTATTTCTGTATTTTCAGAATCTCATAATCATATTACTATAGTTCATATTTCAAAGAAATGCTGAGTAAAACAATAGTGCAGAAATATTTTTATATTGTTCCAAGCTTTAAAAATGTTTCCTGAGCTAACAGGATATTCCACTTATTTTTTAAACTGAAATCTACAACCAACTCTTATAATAAACAATTACAGACTTTATACTAGGTGGTAAACAAGTAAATCGATGCTCTTTAGTGCACTATTTGTAAGTACCATGGGAAACTGCAAAGCAAAGTATAGAAATTTTTACAAAACTCACAGTCTACTTTTAATAATTCAGATTCCCATATGACATTGGAATTTAAACAGGCAAGAAGAGATGTTTCTACACTAGTTTCAAATTTTCCAATTTTTCTTCTGCCAAGTCTTAACTTCCCTGAGTATTTCTTAAGGTACAAATCCCCTGTATATGATGGAAAACTATACCATCAACTGTATTCTCTTATGAGTAGAATTTTCCTGGGAACAATAAATATGTGCCACACTAATAAGGTACTATAATGGGGGAATCTTTGAGAAAAAAAGCTCTATATTATGAATGCAAAGTGGCATCATTAATTTTTTCTAGAAAAAGCCCAATTCAAATAGGAAAGCTACAATTGGAGATCTTGCAAAGGTGAAGAAGTTATTATTGGAATATGTTCACTTTTTCTTTCTTCTTCCATGAATTGATTTTGCCTCTTCCACTTAAGAGCATGAAGAAACTGCTTACATGCAAATCCATCTCATATACATATATTATACATGTACATACAGAAGTATTTGGCTTTCCAAAAATATTTCAGCTTGATTTGGGAAATAAGAAAAATATCTCTTATTTTGAGTAATGATAATACCAAATGAATTTGAACCTGGCATCAGTTTGCTAATAATATTTTAAAATATTTTTCAGATGCAAATATGAATCTTTGGAAGACACACAGATTGATTTCCATAAGCAAGTTAAATGAAGCAGATGTGAAGAAATTTATCAGATGTATAATATGGGAGTAGAAGTGATGGATAGCTGCTAAAATATCAGATTATTATGAAGGTGCAGATGTGCCTATTATTTTAAGAGGCAGTCCTATTGAATACCATATAAAATATTTTAAATAGACCCTGATTCTGAGGGGTTCTCCGCTCTTTTTTTATATTTACTTTTCCTGACTCCCTGTCCCTTCCTTGCTACAACTGTATTATATAAATACTCTGCCAAGAAACGATCTTGGGCACATGCCCTGAATATTGTCATTTTCATAGTAAGGGAACTTATTTTTAGTGGATTTATCATAATTCCTCCAGATCTTCGGGTAGACTTTTCCCTAAGAAGTTGAGGTGACAGCTAAATTTGCCAGGTGACACTTAATGGTAGGCTTAAGAAGAGAGGAAGTGCTCCTGGAGAAACCTGGCTCCATTTCACTCACTGCTTGCTCTCTTTAGAATATTATACTTTACCTTCTTTTCATTTTCCCGTCGCTGTTGGTCCTTAAATTTAATCTGGAGAAGTTGAAATTTCAAGAGTTTTCCTATCAGTGGTAAGGTTAATGTCTCTCCACTATCCATAATTGCTTTGGCTGCCACTAACACCTATGAAGAAACACAGTTATTAGGAAAAGTGACATTTTATAACCTTTGGTACAGTGTGTCAGTGACAAAAAGAAGAAAGAGTATTTTATGTTTTGTAATATTTGTTATACTGCAAAGGTGTCTCATTGCTGGCTGAAAAAAGAAGGGAAAAAATGCCCCAATGCTACAGAAAGTGGCCTCTCCTTTAGATAAATTGGGTTGTCTGAATATCAATTTCTTTTTCCAATAAGGCAGAGAGTACTTTCCACAATGGTATTAGCCTCAGCTTTCTCCAAAAAAGGTAGAGAAAAGATAGGCAGGGCTCCATTTTAGGATGACTGATGGATTGGTTTCATGCTACATAAAGTCTATTGTTATTTGGCGTAGACAGTAGTCCAAAGTGTCAAACTTTGACTTATTAGAACACTATAAATTAAATAAGGTTTTATAACAGTGGAAATGACAAAGTTAGCAGTCTTTTATTTCTTGGTAACCAAATTCAAATGAAAGATAAAAGCTGCTTGAAACAAAGGCACTGTAGGAATTGTACTCTTGCAACTTAATGTTGATCATGTTGGTATGCAGCCTAATTGGGGTGAAATAAGGTTATTGAGTTTTCTTTGGGTGACGACAGCCACTAGGAACATACAGCTGTATTGTCCAGATGTGTGGCACTGACAGCCTGTTTTATGACTGTGTTTTTTACAGCTTGTTTCCCCTAAATTTCACACAACTCTCTAACATCTGGGCCCTTTTCCTTGGAGCCCTATAACCACTTTATTTACTGCAAAAAAAATAAAATCACGTAAAATATACCATAAAAAGTTGTTATGTGTTTCTCTTTATTCACTTTGTCTCCCTAATAAAGTTCACCTCTGCCTGAAGCACTGTCACAGAAGTAATCTAGTTAAGGTATTTTTTGACTTTTGTTTTTAAGCAAGCATCATATTTATTTATAACCTCGGGATGAATTAGGTGTTACCAAAATGTTCTGACATGTTCCTTTTCTCCCCCTTGGAGCAATCACTCCTTGGGGCGCATATGGTGTCAATTTCAGGCCTTCAGTCTCAGACAATGACTGTGCACACTGTATCTCACGGAGCTGTGTCTTGTCTGAGGTTCCTACCAGCTCATGGTCAGGGCTTTCCTGACCAGTTCAGTTCCTTTGACTTTCCATTTTGCCAAGGGAAATTGCCAAAAGAAAGGGAGGTGCCTATTTCACTTCTAACTGCAGAAGGTCCTGTGGATTATCGTGTGCCAAAATGTAACTAGATCTCTTAGAGACCAAGTTGGGTTTCCTGTACCACATCGAAGAAGAGGAAAGCCAGGGAAAGGATTCCTTTAAAGCTGCCTCTTCTAAAAACCAAAGGAACAAACCAAGTGTCAGAAATCTTTTCATGTGTCTAAGTGAGTATTCTGCAAGAAATATAGCCTTTGCTTTTCATGGCAGTTCTGCTCTGCTAACATGATTTAGGAAAAAGGACATGATGGCTATGATTTCTGGGAGCAGAAAAACATAGTGGTACACCTGGAAAACCTCACCATTTAATGATGATCAGATCCCACATGGAAGGGAATCCTAAGGGGGCTGCGGGTTAGGCATTTACTGTACAGTGAAAGCTGTCCGGCTGGGTTCAACCCCAAGAAGAGATGTCAGTATTTGGTTTGAAATGGCATTTTTCATTACCAGACAAACAATGTGCTGACAATCAGGCTTTGTGACATCTGGTTCAAAATATTCAAATTTGTGTTTTTAAAGCTAACAGCAGTCTACCATGGGGTGTTTCCCTGTAATACAAAGATAATGACAGCATTGAAGGGAAATCAGCACTGGAACGGGTCACCCCAGAGTAGTTGCGGAGTCTCTTTTCCGGATGACCTGTGAAAACAGAATACTCACCTATGTCTGGGGGTTTTGGGTGAAGCCTGCCTAGCGTCATGGTGATGGATGGGATGTCTCTGGAGGTACTTCGTAGCCCTTTGTCTCTAAGAGCCTATGAATGTTATTAATACCTCACTGTATTAAAATGTACTCAAAGCACAACAAAATGTCGCAAGAGAAAAGTATTTTGCAGGCCAAAAAAGTTATTTCCGGTTTGTCTAAAACTGTCTGTAGAATGCTGATCTCAAAGCATCTGCTGATGCTGTGCTGATCTCACAGCATCACAGTGACAGTGGTGTCCTGCCCTGATAGGGGGAGATGGGTGATGAGGAGTACCACCGGCCCTGCTGGGCCCCGTGTTGTCATGACATTCAGACACAGAGTGAGATCAGCAGTGGGACAGGCAGCCTCAGGAGGGCCCTGGGGGAGCGTCCTCTTCCTCAACAGCCTGAGGGCGACCCACATCTAGGCTGACTTGATGCCCAACAGCCTGCAGAAAGGCACAGCCTGCACAAGGCATTATTAGGAACAGCAGAGGCCAGGCATACTTGTCCCCTTCCCCCTCTCCCCACCGTGTTGCTCTGAAGAGACTTGAATCCCACAATGCTACTTTCTGTGCATCCCCCAGAAGGAATAATACTGTGAATTCTTGGGATAATTAATGAAAATGAAAGTTTATGCTGAACTCAAAATCTGAGACTGAATATTTTCATGGTGAGTCATCCCCAAAAGAAGCAGAAAAAGAAAGATGTTTACAAATTAATTTCCACTAAAAATTCTTTCTTCTCACACCCCATAATTCACAATTTCACCTAGTCAGTAGCCAGTAGTTTGGCCTCACATGAAAAACAAACATTTAGAGGATCTTCGTTTGAAGGCTAAGTCTTTGAGAGTAGAAAAACTAAAGAATAGACAGAATTTAAAAGGAAATGTACCTTTTCACATAATATTCCAAAAGGCTTCCCCTTCCCTGTCTTACTGGTATTAATTGAAAGAACGATCAAACCTTCAAATTTCCAGCATTGTAAAGGTTATTTGGCCAGTATCTATAGCTAAACTGTGTGTGCATATTTGTGTGTCTGTGTGTGTGTGCTGGGAGGCAAGCTGGCAAGGGTTATAGGTATTGGGGGGAATGAGAAATATAAGAGAAAATGGGAGCAGCGAGCTGGCAGCAGTTGGGAAGTAATTAGGCAAAAATCTAAGCTTCCAGAACTAAGCAGGAGAAAAACAAAACAAAGCAGTCCTAAGTGCGTCAAAACCTGGGTACTCATCAAACCAAAATACCAAGAAAATGTGGCAGGCATGAGTCAGAAACTCAAAAAAGTACCAGTCTTATGGGCAAATGAGACTCATTAAAATGGAGAAAACTGTTGCCCAGTGAGGTCTCAGTGTCTCCTGACCTTCTCAGGTCAGATCTGCTGGCAGGCAGGCCTGCCAGGGCTGGGGGGAGGCTCCAAGCTGAGCAACCAAGGGCATTCAATTTTGGAAAAGACTGGTATAGATGAAAATTAAGCTTCAAAGAGTGCCACTGAGGCAGGAAGACAAGTTGGTACTTTATTGTGTGAAGATACTTATTTTGGGGGTATAGATGCTCTTTTTCTGTTAGGAAGCTTGTGAGCACACCACTATGAAATAAAAATATTTTCCTGTTTATCACTGACCTGGCTCAAAAGACTTACATCATATTTATCATCTAGTGATTTGATCCAACAAAAATATACCAAATGAGACAAATTCTTTCCTTGCCTGGGGATCAGGCCCACCCACAGACATTAGTGCCCCCTGTCCCTCTTCTAACCATTCTCCCTCTCTGTATGTAGTGCCTCCTTGGTAAGTACCAGAATCTGCCTACCCATTACTTAAAATTTCCCCACACATTCCCATGGAAACCAAAGTATGTATGTATGCATATGCATGTGTATACAAATATACATATGCACATATATGTGTGCAAATATATGTGCAAATATACATATTGTGCATTTTGTGCAAATATACGTATGCACATATGTGTGTATAAGTTTATATAAAATAGACAGACTAGATAGATAGATGGATGGATAGATGGGTAGATAGAATGGGCTCCCTTTAGGCCTGCTGCCTGACTTCCCTGGTGTGCTTAGAAGGAGGCATATGGAGCAACTTGAATTATTGCTTAACTGACTACACATTCAATCCCAGGTGAATTCTGAGGAAGTATAAACTTTTGGATCCGCATTTCCCTTGCCTGGAACAGGCTTTGTGATCAAGGTGGTGGAGAAGAGGGCAAGGTGTGGTTGTGTGAGGCTGAGAGGGATTGGGTAGTGGGAAAGGGATGGGACTGAGGAAGACTTTTCCTCCAGGAGCTCCAAATAACCTCCAGTTCCCTAAAAGAATCCTTTGGTTCAGAGACTTCCCTGGGGGCCCATGGTGTCTGTTGCAGTAGCTATAATAATTCACAAAATAATTACTTCATATTTAACCCATTTTCTTTGGGTTAATGACTCAGGATGGTTTAGATTTATGAAGACCTTAGCAAACAGGAGGAGAGTCCATAAGCTACAGCTTGACTCAGTCCAGGCTAGCATAAGGTTGAGCAAACAGGCTTTCGACACACACACAATGCTAACTCCTATTTTTTTTGTATCACATTCTTTTGGGTAGCTAATGTTCTTAAATATATGATTAATTAAATAAAGTAAGAGTACAATAGTCCATCATGGTAAAAAGTCTCAATAGTACAGAAGGTATACAGTTAAAAGAAATGGTTTCCCAACTCACTCTGTCATTTCCCCTTTCCAGAGATAAGCACTGTTAACTAATTCTTGTGTATCTTTCCACAATTTCATATATATATATAAGCATATATGTATATCCTTTTATATTTTAATACAAATGGGATCATGCTATTCACATTAAGTGATTTGTGGTTTGTGTTTTTACCTAAAAGCACATTCAAATAGCTTTCTGTGCTGACATGTTTTGCTTATGTATATATTTTTAATAGCATAGTCTTCTACTGTATGGGTATTTTGTCATTTATTTAACTAGTTGCCTATTGATGCATATCTAGGCAATTTCAGGTTTTTTTCTTTTCTTTTTTCAATTGTGTGTTTTTGTTAATAGCATTTTTTCCCAGCAGCACTAAATGAAAGGGTCT